GTGGTCAGTTCTGCACCGTCCATGAGACAGTGAGGACCCTGTGGTCACCTAGAGCCCCTCCCTCCCTGATCCTGGTGGCACCACAGGGCTGATGACAAGAAGACAGGAAATGGCTCCTTCCCAAGCAGCCAGAGTGTCCATCACCCTGCCCTGTAGGAGGGGCTTCTGGGAGGCTGGAGGGAGCCAGTCCGTGCCTGCCTGGAGTACTAATCAGGCAAAGCCACTCCAGTGACCTCATTCAAGCTGATGATTGTCCCATCAGGTCAGACACATAGTGAATGAAAGGACAAAATGTTCCCCACAAAGCAAATGCATTAACACGTACAAAGGAGGGGCAGGGTGGATGCAGGATGCTGTGCTGAGTTGGCGTCTGGAGCCTCATAGGGCTTTGGGGGGGAGGTGCAAGCCCCAGCACGGAGCCAGCTGCCCCATGTTCCTTGAGTTTGCCGGGAGTGGAACCCCAGCTATTCATGGGTGATTTCCCAGGGGCACCCACTGACTCCAGCCTCCCTCTCAGGACATCCAGAAGCAAGGATACTTGCTACCATGAGAGCCCCGGTTCCTCAAACCTGGGGTTTTTTCAGCATGACCTAGCCTGGAAAATAAGGCTGGGGGACAGAGGAGAGGAGCAAAGGCTTCTGGGACCCTCAGCCACTCCATGTGGCAAGGGATGCAGTGGCGAATGGGGTGGGATGGTGTGGGTCCATACCCGTTTTCGCAGGGTAGATAGCTCTGTACAGAGCTCCTAACACAGCCCACAGCCCAAGAACCCTGAGCAGGGCTGGCCGGCTTCTGGAAGGATTCCCACAGAGGCGGCCAGCTCCTCGTCCTGACTTTCTTCCTCCTCTAAGCTAAGGGAAAGGGGGGCAAGTCACGAGTGAATGGCCAGGGACAAGGCAGCTCTGTCCTCCCCACATTGGCTCCTCTGCTCTGCCCTGCATACCAGACCCTTCCCAGCCGGGGCCCCCGGAAGTCTCCTCCCCACAGGGCTACTTGCGGCCAACGGCCGGGCCCTGGACACTGGGGAAGAGTTTATCCTCCAAGGAAGACATCAGGGAGAGGGATCTGGTGCCCTGAAGTCCTGGGATGCAGCTGCTGAAGGCAGGCCGGCACTGTGAGAGTCTGAGTGGCCCTGAGGGAGACCCCCACTCAGGTGAGCAAGGAATGAGCAGGGTCAGGAAGCCGGGAGAGAGCTAGACTCAGCTGAGACACTTGAGAAGGGCTGTCCTTGCCTCCTGTAAACTGACCAGGAGCTAGGCAGGTGCACACCCAATGGTTCTGGTTCAGGGGGCTGGGTGGGTACCCCAAAGGGCACAGGCCCAGCAGGGTTGGGGATAGGTGGGCCTCTCGGGCCCCTGGAATTCATTCTGCTAGGGCTGGAGGGAAGTCAGAGCCAGGAGAGACATGGCCTTTAGTTGTTAGACTCAGTCTGGTGTGGTATTTACATGTGGGTGTGGCCTGTGGGACTGTAGGACAAGGCACTCATTGTGGGCTTGCAGAAGTGCAGTGGTTTGAGTGGGCAATGGGGGAGACATACATCTGGGCTTTGGGCAGTGATGGGTGAGTGTGTGTTGAGCTGAGCAGTGTGTATTTTGAGCATGGTGTACATTGTAGGTGTGATGGTGGCCAGTGCGCTCGAGGCAAGAAAAGGCTCAGTTTTTCTCTCCTGACTTGATGAGTGTAAACAAGGGACTCCTGTGAAAGAAAATGGACGCCCCCCCCTTTACCTCCCCTTGGTGGTGCCTTCTCAGCCAGCAAAGCAGCAGCCCCAGACTGTCCTAGTCAGTGGGGGTACTACCCTGCCAGCTGCTTCCCCTGCATACATGCCCCTGGGTGTGTAGCTCTCTGAGACCTTTATAGCATACTTGGCTATTTTGTCCATGCCATCCGGAATGCAGTGGTGTGGGGATCATGCAGGCAGAGTTTCGAGTATCCTTCTGATGAGCATGCAAAGAAGAAGGGAAGCTAGCCCTGATCCCTGCCAGGCTCGATGGCTCCAGCCTGGGCTACCCCATGTACACAGTGACATAGTAGAAGCCCTCTGCTCTTGGTGATCTGTAGCCCTTCTCCTCCTCTGGGCCCAGTATTGTGGTATGAGCACAGGGCAGCTCGCTGAGGGAAATGCGCTGGAAGTCCTTCCCCACTTCTGGGTCAAGGATAAGCTTTATGCTTGGTGTGGCGTCTGAGGGGCCGCGTAGGCCGTGGCCTCTGGCCTTGGCTCCGTCTACCGTAGTCTATGCTTCAGTGCCCCATCTGGGAGGCAGGCCCGCTAGAAGTGCTGAGAGTGACAGCCAGGCAAATGGCAAGAGTATTGAGTCTGCTGTGCAGATGTGTCTGCAGCTGCCGGGGCTGTGGGGAGGACCTCATGGACCTGCAGACCCAGTAGACGGGAAGCAGATCTAGCCAGGGGCTCACTGTGTTCTGGCATGGAGAAAGGACGGAAGGGCAAGGTGAGGGACTGTCATGGGTCGCCCTGGAGGAAAAGGGCCAGTTTCTAGGTCTTTGGAGGTAAAACTACCAGTAGCGGCCCCCATGGACTGAGGATGGAGTGCTTTCCATTGTCGGGAGGGCTGGGACACAGAACACGTATAGGTTTGGATGACTTTCCCTGAGATGTGGAGGTCAGGGTCCTTCGCGAGACAGGGACGGTCCACCTTGGATGGATAGTCTTAATGGAGAAGTTTCTAGACCTTTGCTGTAGGTGAGGTGGACAGGAAGCTGAAGGAGGGGTTAGGGTCTGAGGCCTCAGTGGAGGTGGCTCAGCCGAGAAGGCGTGGCCATTAGCAGTGGCCGGACCTGACCTTTTTGACTCTGGACAGAGGATTCATTTAGCTGGGCCCAGCGAGCCTCCCACCTGGTCTGCAGAAGGATGCCCTCCCTGAGCCAGCTGCGCGCTGTGGTTCAGAGGACTGCACAGTCTCTACCACAGCTTGGGTCCACCCGTGCAGCATCAGTGGAGGGCTCCCTCAGAGGCCACCTCTTCAGGGGCCAGGCCCAATACTGGCCCTTCCTTGTGTCCCCCTTGTATTGTCTCTTGTCCCCCTTGTATTGTCTCTTCACGTCTTGGTTCCATCTGAACTGTCCTTTTGTGGCTCGGCTGACCTGGCTCTGCTATGTGGACAGTCTGCCTGGCTGGTTCTCCCAGGACCTGGGCCTTGCAGGTGGTCAAGGCAGCTGCCCAAACCAGGCTCGCTTCTCCAGTCCCCTCCCCATCACTGCCTGTGCTGGGAAAGGACCGGGGGGCCTGGGAACCAGGGTGAAGTTGCTCCCCACCCCACCTAGAAATGAAGGTCAGGGACCCCTGGGGCTGGTGGCAGCACTAAGCAGCGTGGGTTCAGGCAGTTGCTCCTTCCCACCCAACTGTGGTTGTGGACTTGGGAGCTGGCGACACGTCCCCTGTGGGAACCCAGAGCCCAGTTCAAACCATCGGCCAGGCTGTACCCACCCCAAGTTGTCCAGTGTCCAGAGTGCCCTGCAGCGGGACTGCCCTGAGCCATGTCACTGCTACTCCAGCCTGGGTGGTCCACAGTGAGCCCCAGGGACCCAGAGGTTCCCCCTTACCCCATCCCCACGTGGGCACAGGAGGTAGGATAGGGAGAATCGGTGTGGCTTCATGGAGGGGATGCTATGGAATACACGGGCTGCCTTCCAGGAGGAAGGAACAGTACCAGCTAAGTGGGTAGGAAGCGCAGGGCGTGGCTTGGTAGAGTATCCCATGGTGGGGGCACCAAAATTCTCTGCTGCACCCTTCTCAGGGTCAGATCTGTCCTTAAGCCTTGCCTGCCTGGTCTGGTGCCCACAGCCCAGTTAGATGGCTCAGTGGACACTCAGACACTCTGTTTTCCCTGCACAAGCGGGGATTTATGAACTCTGGCCCCTGGGTGCAGTACTGCTGTGCCCTTGGTCTCCCGGGTCCCTTGCTTGGCTAGTGGCCTCAGAGCTCTGGGTCAGCACTGGGCTGACGGGCTGTGGTCTCTTCCAGGAGCTAGACCCAAGAGGACACAGAGGCTGAGCGCTGAGACCTGGGACCTGCTACGGCTCCCCCTGGACCGGGTGAGCTGGGGATCAGGGCTGGTGGCGGGGGCACTGAGGAACAGATGGCAGCGGAGACGTGGTCAGCATGTGGGCTCTGGGTTAATGAGCCCAGTGCGCAATGTTTGCGGAGCTGTCAACTCCCTTTTTGGGCCCTGTCCCCTGGGAGATAAATGTCCCTCCCCCTGCAGCCTGAGGCCCTACGGGAGCCATTTGTCAACACTCCCCCTTGAGGTGTTCTGACTGCACACTCTGGCACAAGCTTTCCCTGGGTGGCACGTCCTGGGTTCCTGTCTGCTCCCTGCCACGGGACTGACTCTGGGGGGGGGGTGGAGCAAGACGGCTGTTATTGTTGGAGAAGCTGTTGGGTTTTGGCAAACCCCAAATCTGGAGGGGGGGCTAGTGTGGGTACTGTCTGGCCCACTGTAGCCTGTCCTCTGTCTGGCCCACTGTAGCCTGTCCTCTCTGATCTTCTAGTTGTAAATAGCCTTTGGGGCATAACGTGAGTTCAAGGCCAGGGACACCTATGGTCACCTTTTGCCCAGCATGAGAAGGCTGACATTTAAGGAAGTCGGCATTCTTCCAGTGTTTGCCTCGTTCTGTGCCCACTCTCCTTCCTATTCCGTTCTTCAGAGACTGAGTACCTACTGTGTGCATCCCCAAAGGTGGGCAGCTGGGCCAGCTGCTGAGAGGGGACTTTGGTTTCCAACTGCCCTGGCTCATGTCCAACCTGCCTTTCCCTCCCCAGGAGCAAAATGGAGACACCCACCACACAGGGGACTGGAGGGGACCAGGCAGGGACTTGCTCCCCCTCCCCATGAGGAGCAGGAAGTACCAGGAAGGGGCAGATGCCACCGAGAGGCGACCTCGGGAGGGCAGCCACTCTCCACTGGACAGCGCTGACGTAAGGGTGCAGGTGCCTCGTACGGTAGGTGCTGCCTGAGTCGAGGGGACAGGTGTGAATACTGAGCTCTCCCTTCCCTCTCTCTGCCCATCCAGCCTGGTAGCCGGGCGGGGGGTCAAGGCTGGACTCAGGGAGGCAGAGCTGTGAGCTGATGGGCCCTCCACCTGGCCTTGTGTGGTCCAGGGACTCTGCACCTCCGGGAGCCCTCCTGGGCACCCCAGGTCGGCCTTCCTGCAGACAGGATCTGTCTCTTTCTGGGCCTCAGTGTCCACCCTTGTCACCAGTCTTCAGGTGGCCTCCCTCTGTGTCACAGGCCCCGTCTTTGCCTTGCTGGGACCCTGGAGACCTGGTGTACAAGCTGAAGAAGCTGGGCGGAACGGCCCACTCCAGGGTGCCTGGGCACAGACCTGAACTCAGGGATTCCAGGCAGGGGCTCCAGTTTGGGGGTCCTCTGCCTTGAGCCTAAGAATTGGTACCGCCTGCAACCCCTCAATGTGACTCGGAGTTTGAGAGGCCTCCTGGGGAGTCTCCTGAGTTGCAGAGTGGTGGCCCTGAGCTGAGGGGTGTGAGGGGTGGCTGGAGATGGGTGGGAAGGCCCCAAGCTTGCCCATGGGGCAGGTCCCAAGGAGAAGGCCTTAGTGCTGGGGGCAGTTCAGTGTGAGAGGGGGCACGTGCTGGTCTTGGGGAGTGGCATCGTGTGGAGGGGCATGCTGGGTGGCTAGTGCACAACTGGAGAGCCAGATGTGGAAGGGACAGCAGGGAGTTGGCATCTGCCCAGTGTCCCAACAGGGCTGGGCTGGGAGGTGCCACCTAGTCCACCTGGGCTTAGCATCCTGATCAAAGCTGGACTGGAGACCTGGCCGGGGGTTGGTATGGCCTGGCAGGAACCCACAGCTCAGACCTGGGAGCACTCAGTGTTCCTGGCAGCACACAGAAATGGTAAAATGGGTAGCTCAATGGTCAGTTACAAGACTGGTGGCCAGTGGGTGGAGGAGGGTGGGGCCTGCCGGGGCCAATGGTGCCCACTGTGCCTGGGCAGTGTCTCCAGGCACTGGGAGCTGGTGGGGGTCCAGAGACAGAGTCTGGATTTAGGCTTGGAAGTCTTTGTGCAGGGCACTCGGGTCCTGAGGCTCTAGGAAGTGGCACACAACACCCTCGCCCTGCCACAGGCTCAGGCGTAGGGGCCTCGGTTATTCTTAGTGCCTGGAGCCCACCCTTCCTGCCGGGGCGGCTGCCTTCAGCCCCACTCCAGCCCACTTTATTCCTGTTGCAGGGAGGCCTCAGGGAGCTATGAAGGGAACGCACAGTCTTTTATCCATGGGCTTAAGGAAGGTTGTGGTGGGGGGCGAGGGGCCGCCCTGCCAGCGTCAAGGCCTGCCCAGGCCAGGGTGAGAGTCCACCTGGGGCGGCCTCAGGAGCAAAGCTGAGGGCGAGACTGCGTCTCCCAGGGGCCCAGATTTAGCTTTGGAAGGAAGCCCAGGGGCCAAGGGGTTGGGTGGGAAAGGGCTTTCAAGTAAGCTGTCCGCCCCCGCAGCCTTTAGCGTGCCCACCCACAGGCCTCAAGGGGTGTGCTCTGGTGAGCTGGGGGGAAGCCAGCTCATTGTTGAGAGAGAGAGAGAGAGAGAGAGAGAGAGAGAGAGAGAGAGAGAGAGAGAGAGAGAGCTGACATACTCGTGAGTTGCAGCCGTGAGGGTGGGTACTGGGAGAGCCCAGCCTTCTTCTCCCTGGTGTGTGTGTGTGTGTGTGTGTGTGTGTGTGTGTGTGTGTGTGTGTGTGTGTTCAAGCACTCGTGAGCTGCAGCAGTGAGGGCGGGTACCGAGAGAGCCCAGCCTCTCCCTAGCTCCTATTTAAGCATCCGGCGAACACTGTGGATCCCAGCAGCGGCAGTGAGGAGACACTTGGCACTCCGGGCAGGTGGATAGCGGCTGTGCCTGGCACCTTGGCATCCTGCCTGGGTTGCACGTGGCCTGGCGCCCATACAACTCCTGATTGCTGCTGCTGGAGGGAGCCTGTGATCCTGTGTGAGTGTGGGTCCTTGGGCATGCAGGGACTTCAGTCAGCCAGGTAGGGGTGGGCTGGGCCAGGTCTGTACACTTCTCTAGGACCTGGGCTTACACTAAAGCAGTACAGATTGCAGTCAGACCTCATGAGGAACTCAGACCTTCAGGAAAGAGCTAGAGACTTAGGCTGTGGGCAAGGGGCAGGGGACAGGGAGGCCCTTCACAGTCCTCACAAGACCCTCTCAGATCATGCTCCTGAGGGGTATGAGGGGAGGGGCGGGGCAGTAAGCATAGGGAGTCCAAGTCCCGAGTCTCCAGCCTGGATATGGTTCTACCATATCTTGACAGCTCAGGAGTGAGGGCAAGAGGGGTCTCAGAACAGATCCTTCAGGGGCTGTGGGGGGTGGGGGTGGGGTGTTGCTAAGCAGACCCTCTCTGTAGTGCAGCTTGGACCCTGCAGATCCAGTCCTCCAGACATACCTGTGCAGCCTCCACTGGCCTCGAGGAGTTCAGGCTCCGCCCAAGGGCTCATGTCCTCTGGCCGGGCTGTGTATGTTAGCGCTCCCTTTTCTTCTGGCTCTGGTTTTTCTCCTGGCTCTGACAGTTGCCAGGCTGCAGAACTCATTTAGGCCAGAGAAGGACAGAGCCTGAAGGAGAGCAAGGTCAGCCTGGGGACTCAGATCCAGTAGGGTCTCTCTCCTTTGCCATGTGACTGCCCTGTCCGTAGCTCCCGTGACTGGGTCCACATTGCCTTCAGAGTCCCGAGTTCAGTCCTAAGCTGGCGTTGTCTGCTGGGTCTGCTTGTGTCCCGATCTCAGTGCTGTTCTTACCCCTGTGTGACCTTGGGTAGGCCATGCAACCTCTCTGTGCCTGTGCCTCTGTGTGCAGGGCAATCCCAGGCATGGGAAGTGCCTTCTGGGGGAACTCTTCCTGCATTCAGAAGGCCACGCTGTGCAGAACCAGACCTTCCCAGTCACTGCTTCCTTGCTCTGTGTGTGGACTTTGGTGGGCTAGGGGCAGGTTCCAGCTTCTTGCAGCAGGGGCTTCTGGACCCCATCCCATCCATTGCCAGTCCAGGACCCCAGCCAGGCCAGGCTTCTGAGACCCAGCCTGCAGAGGAGGCCAGAGTTATACCCCTTCCCTCCAAGGATGTGAAAACAGTCTGGAATGGCACAACCTGCTGTGGTCACCTGATGCTCAGGATTCACAGACCCAGAGCCTCCCTTTGGAAGTAGCTTCCCCCACCCGCATGGCTTATCTGGACTCAGGACAGTCATCCCTGACCTAGGCCTTAGAATAGACCCCCACTTAGCCACCCACACATTGAAGGACAGATCCTGCCATCTAATCAGCCCAGGGATCCAGAGCGCGGCACGGACTCCAGGAAGTTCTTCCTCTTCGGGAAGGAACTCTCAGCCGTAGGCAGCTGTATTGCCACCCTCGACCCTTGTAGAGGCCCAGCCCTTTCCCTCCCCTCAGCCAGCACACAGAGGACCTAGGGGTGTTCGTATCATACACTGGCAGTCCTGCCGAGGGTGGGCAGTCCTGCCAGTAGGTCTGGGACCCTGAGACACTGAGGGCTGAACTGGGGCCTCCCTCCCCACCCAGGGTATTCCCAGAGCCCCATCTTCGGACGAGGAGTGCTTCTTTGACCTGCTGAGTAAGTTCCAGAGCAGTCGCATGGATGACCAGCGTTGCCCCCTGGAGGAAGGCCAGGCAGGGGCCGCCGAGGCCACAGCTGCCCCAACCCTGGAGGAGAGGGCGGGTGAGTACAGAGCCTAGGCGGGCCCACCAGCCAGATCCAGCACTAATCCCATGAGCCAGTCCAGAGGGGAAGGATAGGCCAGCTGCAAAGTGCCCCCATCACCCAGCGCTCCCTCCACACTTGTCCCTGAAGCTACATCCTGGGAAGTATGTAATTACCCCACCCTGAAGAACACGCAGCGTCTATGCATCCCAGCCTTTGAGCGTGTGGGAGGCCAGAGCTTTCTCCTGTCAGCTCCTGAAGTCCTAGGAGGCAGAGGTGGGAGGCAGGGCAGGGGCAGGATGGTTAGGAGCAGCCCCAGGCATGGGGGACTTACTGGGGCCATATTCCCGTGGAGAGAGCTGGGCCAGTTCGAGAAGCCCGCGTTCCCGGTGGCCCCTCTCCAGGCTTCACCTTCTGCCCGTCCCTTGCAGCCCAGCCCTCCGTGACAGCTTCACCACAGACTGAGGAGTTCTTCGACCTCATTGCCAGCTCTCAGAGCCGCCGGCTGGATGACCAGAGGGCTAGCGTGGGCAGCCTGCCTGGGCTACGCATCACCCTCAACAATGTGGGGCACCTCCGAGGCGACGGGGACCCTCAGGAGCCAGGGGATGAGTTTTTCAACATGCTTATCAAGTACCAGGTGGGCCTGCACTCAGGAGACAAGGGGTGGGGCCTCTTCCAGGCCAGCCTTCCGGTGGGCCTCTGCCAGCTGCAGTATAGACACCTGGCAGGCCCACAGCAAACTGTGGTCTCTCTGTCTCTGGCCTTGCCTGAGGGATGCCAGGGGAAGACACAGAAACAAGCTGGTGGATGAGGATGGCACAGCCAGAGTCAGGGACCATCCACAGATGCCCAGGCCTGTAACCCTCTCTGCCAAGGGCCCAAGCACCTCCCGAGACATCAGCCTCAGCACACTTCGGTGCTGGAGTTCAGTCTGGGTTTGCCAGGTCCCTAAATCCAGGGATGGTCACTGCAGCTTCCACATCTGGGCAGAGGAAACTGAGGGTCAAGTGGCACCCTGGAGTTGGGAAGGAGGGGGAGCTGGGGTATCGGCAGCTGGCTGGAGGAATAGGGGCAGGGAATGGCTTTGAAAAAGACCACACACCATGGGGCCAACAGGTAAGGTCTTCATGCCTAGGCCTATGAAGACAGACCAGGGTAGGGCTCCCCATGGATGGGCCTCATTGTATGGGAGGGGGCTGAGGCTGGGGTGCTGCTGAACTGAGCCACCTACCCACGGCCTGGCTGCACAGAGGGTGGGTGGTAGGTTCACTCTGCAGACCAGCTGCCTTCCAACTGGAGCATGTACGTGGTGGGGCCCGGTCAGACACAGGAGTGACCAGGGCCGGCACTCCGCTTCGGCATCAGGCTAAGTTTCCAGATCAATGTTCGTTCTCACAGAGGAGACAGAACCACAGCAGCGTCCCGGCAGCCTCCTCTAAGTCAGCTCCTCCTGAGAAGCCCCGCCCACTCCAATACTTGGGCCATCAGCTGCATCGGCTCCGGTCCATTCTGCTCCAGGCCCTGAAGAAAAGCCAACACCCTTCAGGCCCCCCAGCCTGCACATCAGGACAGGCGGAGCTCGTGGTGTCAGCTGATTGATCCCAAGGAGACCCTTGGCGGGTTGGGGCTTGGAGCGGTGATGGTGGTGGTGATTTCCAAGCAACAGGCTCTGAGCTGTGGCCCCCAGGCCCTCCAAGGGCAGTGCAGGGTTGTGCTAGGTTCCAGGGTAGTTTTAGGGGTATGGTCCTTGGATCAGCAGGTCCCAGGAGCTGGCCTTAGGCTGGCTTATTCTATGCCCAGAATATACCACCCAGTCCTTGTTGTTTAGTTGGCCAGCCACAGCCCTGGGGAGATGTCTTCAAGAGACATTGCCAGGGCAGGGCTTCTAACACCGCCCCAGAACCAGGGAGGCAAGAGGTGGCTGAAACAGGTCCCACTTGGAGTGCCCTGCTCCCCCAAGCCAGTGTCTTCTGCCCTCAGATTTTCAATAAGCCCATTGCCCACCCAGTGCCAGGATAGATCCTCCAAAGGCCCAAGAAATGCAAGGCCATCAACCTCCACTGTGTGTCTGCCCAGTCCTCCAGGATTGATGACCAGCGCTGCCCACCGCCTGACGTGCTGCCCCGAGGCCCCACCATGCCTGACGAGGATTTCTTCAGCCTTATCCAGAGAGTGCAGGCCAAGCGGATGGATGAGCAGCGTGTGGACCTTGCTGGGAGCCCGGAGCAGGAGGCCAGTGGGCTGCATGAACCTCGGCAGCCCTGTCCACCAGGTGCCAGCTAAGGCCTCAGCCCTCCAGCCAGGCATGCCCTGCCCCGGACTCTGGGGATTCAGTTGTCCACAGTGGCCATGACCCCTTGATAAGCCAAATCTTCCCTAGGCCATGATGGAGAGCCAGCTCAGCCCCCAACCCCCTTCCCACTGAGCTAGATGGTGGGCACCCAGCCCTCAAGGAACCCCCGCCCCAGGGTGCTGGGCTCAGGCTAGAGCTGCTGTATGGGGGAGGGCATGCTTCTGTCCCCATGTGGCCCATAGCTTCCCGCAGGCCCCGCCGTGCCCTGCTCCAGGCCGGGCCTTCAGCATGTTGGCCCCGAGCCCCGGTGCTGTCCAGACCCTTCTCCCCCAAGCCCTGCCCTGCCAAATGTGAAACTCTGCCAACTCACCCTGGCTCCCCACAGGAGCCTGAAAGATTTCTGGGGTCTACAGTGGCATGGCATGATCTGTCCCCCAGCTGGTCCTGGGATGGCTATGCAGGAGGTACACTCAGTATTCTGCCTCACCTCCCCAGGGCAGGCCCTATTCTGGCCTGTCTGTGCCCAACTCTGCTGCGGGAGATTGACAGCTACCAAGTCCAGACACCCTGACCAAGCAGTCGCCAGCCTTGCACTTGGTCTCTGAGGGACCTTCTCCAGCAGGGGGACAAGGCAAGCCTCCGAGCCAAAACCACAGGCAGGGTCTTGTCCTAGGAGGACTTGTCCTGCCAGCTGGCAGTGGGTATTCATGAGGAATCTGCTCAGCTACCCTCCAGTCCCCTCGGTGACCATCCACCCCATGCTACTAGGGAAATGCTAGCTGGGCTTTCTCCTTGAGGGGTCGGTCCAGTTGCATTACCTTGAGTTGGACACAGGGCACTGTAGTTGGGGTGAAGTTCAGGCCAGACTGCTGGGGCATCCATGAGACAGACCTTTGGGGACTGTGGTCCCAGCTCTTACCTGCAGATCCTGCAGGTAGCCCTACTGGAGGGCTCTGTACAACCTTCCAACCCCAGGGCCTCTTACCCTGCAGCCTAGGAGGGGCCAGGGCAAGGGAACCTGAAGGGCCAGCCCTGGGGACCCACCTTCTGAGGGACAACAGCACCCCAAGAGCAGGAGCAAATGCCAGAGCACAGGGTCTCGGGCGGGACACAGTGGCCGCCTGCATACTTGAATGTACATGCGTATTTATTGCTCACATGTGTTTGCCATGTTATCCACGGGTTCTTTCCAACCCGAGAGGTACGTTTTTGTTTGACCCAAAAATAAAAAAGTCTGCCAAGTGAGTGTGGCTTCTGTTGGAATTTGTCAGTCAGCCTTCCCAGGACACGGGACTGGCTTGTCCAGTGCAGTGTCCTCCAGCACACATGCCGAGGTTGTGAGGAATGTGTCCCTGCTGTGGGTAGCAATGAGGGGCTGGGGCGAGGGCCTCTACGGGCTGCATCCTCTGCTGTTCACTGTCCTGCCTTTCCAGAGACAGGCAGCAGAAGCCAGGGACGTCACCGCACTGGTGGGAACTGGCCCTTCTGAGCAGCCTCACCCTGATTGGATTAGCTCCAGCCACAGGGCTTCCTTCATCCTAGCAGTGCACGTTACCGGGACTAGATTACGCCAGTCCAAGCCACAGAGCAGCTCGGAGAGGGCCTGCCTTGTCCTCAGTGTTCATGCGGTAAGCAGCATCCCATGGAACTCAAGTCTGATTGGGCCCTTTGGGGAGAGGCCTGACCTAGGCCAAAGGAGGCAACACAGGCTAAGACCAATAAAATATCCTAGAGAAGTCGTTGGGAGTCTGGAGCACTGTGGTGGCTCTAGAGGCAGCCAGACTCTTCCAGGCAGGCTGCAAAGGCTTAGGACTTTGGAAGGAGCTGCCATGGGAAGGGGATATGGTGAGGGCCGAGCCACTCGATAGAAGTCGCACTGAAAACACTGAGCTGGCCAAGAGGCTGTTGGAGTGGTACCTTAAAGTCTCCACTGAGGGAGGAGGAAGGAGCAGACTGCCTAACTACTTAGAACAACCCCAAGCCGCCATGATTGGGAACAGTGGTCCAGGGTCGGGGTATGGACTGTGCAATAATGGTCTGTGTGGAAGGTGAGGCTTAAAAGTGAAACCTTGATGTCCAGGAGAGCCTCCCTGGAAGCCCCAGATGGGGAGCAGCAGCTGCATGCAGAAGGCACACACAGAGCTGAGTCCAAACCATGCGCTTTGACTTCCCATCCAGAGCAGGTCCAGACCCAGCTCTGCGCCATCAAGTCTAGCCGGACTCTGGTCCAGACCCTCCAAGGCAGCCTCGCCAGGTTCCACTGGCCTCCTGCACTTCAGGGCCTCCGCGCAAGGCAGTCGGCCCCCTCTGACCTCTGTGTCCTCCACGGGGAGCAGGCTGGCGCTGGGGGCTGGCTCTGCCTCGGGGCCGTGACAGTTGGCACAGATGGCACAGGAGCCTCTGGGTGGGGATAATAGCAGGGTGCCTGCTGAGGAAGGACGGGGTAATGGAGTGGAGACACCGCCTGCAAGTGCGCCCGGCCTCCCACGGCCTGGAGCGAACTGCTAATCACTAGCTGGGTCCCAGGAGACAGGGTGGCATTGTGTCACCGTCACACTCCCCTCAGCTGCCTTCTCCGCCCTCCTGTCCCAGGTCCTTCCCTGCCAGATGGGCTGGTGATTAATGTGGGAGGTCACAGGCCCAGAAACTCCTGCAGAAAGCCTGGCCCGGTCTTGTATCTGCTTGTTTTCCTAAACACAAGAATATCCTGAAGGCGTGTGGAGATGAACCTCCCCCCAAGGCAGGCGTGATGTGGCCCTCATCACCGCCACACATCTCCTTAGGCCCCGGCACAGGAAGAAGCATGGCGAGGTGCAGGCAGCTGGGATCGCCCTTCTTCCAAGCCTCTGAGCAGTACCCTATGGGTCTGCGGCCAGCACTGAGGGGACAAAAGCCAGGCCTCAGGGCTGGGCTTGACTCTAGCTCACACAATGGAAGCTCCCAGTGCCAGCCAGCAGAGAGCAGGCAACACAGGGGGAAGAGGGGTCCTGAGGAACAGACTGCCCGAGGCCACAAGGCCAACTCAGCACCCAGCCCCAGCCTCACTCAGAGGACCACAGACAGAGGCGACTCCTCTGACAGGGGGGTGCTCACAAGGCCGCGGTCCTAGAGCCACAGAGGTGTCCTGACTTCGGAAAAGAAAAGCAGGAGCCCACCCAGCACCTGGAGGTGACGCCTGTTTACTGACAAGGAACAGCCCAGGCTTGAGAGGTTCTAGGTGAATGGAGCAACTTTTGGGGGGCACAAGCCCACAACGGTAGGAGTGTACAAGTCAGCTCTGTTCAGTCTTGCCAGGGAGGCTGGGATCCTCACCCCCTTCTGGGGCGGCAGGCGGTTCAGCAGCCTCCAGAATTAGTTCCAGGGCACCCTCACCGGACACTCGGCGTACCTCCTCTCCTCTGGCTGCTAGGATCTCTTCAATGTTCCTGCAGGACAGGAAGGCGGCATTAGCTCTGTCCGGGCTCCCTTCAAGGGCATCCCACGGCCAGCCTGGGCTCCCTCAAGGGCATCCCACGGTCAGCCTGGGCTCCCTCAAGGGCATCCCATGGCCAGCCTGGGCTCGGAACACTTGTCCCAGCACCCGAGGGACACCAGTCACCTAATGCACCTTCACCAAACGTGTGTGTTAGGAAGTGCCACCCCAGAAGCCAGCAACTACGTGTCATCTCCCTTGCACAGCGCACACCGGGGCCTCGGCCCCGCCTCTCGCCAGGTACCCATCCCTGCAGCTCTGTCCTGTTCTACGGATCAGAGCTGAGATTTCTCTGCACCACATGTCCAACAGGTGAACCCTAGAGACCCAGGGCCTGCATGCTTATCTCACAGGCTTTCCTCTGTGGCTCTGCCCATCCCCCTGCCTCTGATCTCTCCTCACAGGAGGTCGCTAAGAAGCCATCAGGCACAGCCATAGACCCATCCTCCACACTGGCTCCTGGCCTCTCCACTGCCCTCCCAAAAGTGGGAACACCGACTGAAGGCCAGCGCCCACTTCAGTCTGACACATACCCTTCCACCCGCCCTGAGTTGGCAGAGGGCAAAAGGCCTCCATTAGAAAGTGAAAAGGCAGGCCGGGCGGTGGTGGCGCACGCCTTTAATCCCAGCACTGGGAGGCAGAGCCAGGCGGATCTTGGTGAGTTCGAGGCCAGCCTGGTCTCCAAAGCGAGCTCCAGGAAAGGCGCAAAGCTACACAGAGAAACCCTGTCTCGAAAAAACAAAAAATGAAAGAAAGTGAAGAGGCCAGTGGAGAGGTCAGAGGTCAGGCAGTGACAGAGGTGGAGCCACAGAACTAGACTGAGCTGCCTAGAGGTGTAGTTGGCCACATTTGTGGGCTATTCGTGGTTTATCTGAAGTTCAAATTCAACGGTTTCTAGACCCACGTGGAAGCTGGGCTGTCCAGACAGAGGGGTCCCAGTGAAGCCAGGCAAGGCTCCTGACTCAGGACCCAGGTTCATAAAGGCCACAATCCTGACCCCCACCCCTCCCAGCTGGCCTTACCTCTTGCCCTCCAGGTCAGAAAACCAGGCTAGGTTGTCGGCAATGATGTGGTGGTTCTGGCAGCCAGGGCAGGTAACGATGACCACACCTTGGTGATAGGCCAACTTTGAGATGCGCTTGGATGACCGAGTCCCACAGACCTAGCCGGGATGGAGAGGTGGTCAGGCCAGGTGCACACAGGAAAGCCCCCTCCCGAGGGCTGACTCCACCCTGAGGGGCAGCCCCGACTCTTTCCCAGATGGTCCCACCTAGGAGAGACCCCAGTCACTTCCTTCCCATAACGCCTGTCTCCTGACAATCCCACCCATCTCTCAAAAGGCCCGGGCTCTCGACGGTAGCTCCACCCCTTCCCGGCTCTCTCGGGAAGGCCCCGCCCCCCCGCAGCCCGAAAGACAGATTCCTCCCTTCCCTTCTCCCAGAACCCCACTACTTCGGAAGGCAACCTGCCCCAGGTTCTGCCGACCGCGCCCACCTTGCAGGTGTAGACGAGCTGGTAGTGGTCCGCCTCCACGCGCCCCAGCGCCGCCCCAGGCCCGGATCCCGCAGCGGAGCTTGAGCTCCGCCAGCCCCAGGCCCAGCCCCGCTGTCTCTCCGCGGTCCTCAGACGAGCCCCCGAATCCCAGAGCCGCCCCGGGCCGGGATTCCGGGTCCGCACAATACGCAGTAGTGTGGGCACACGGCTCAGAGCTGTCCGTAACATCCCGTCTGCGGTCTTTGGCCGCCCCTTCTTGCACCGCCCCTCCGTGCGACTGAGGCCGCATCAGCCATCTTGGAAACGGGCGCCGCGGGCGGAAGCGGGCCTCTTCGGCTTCCGTCGCCGCTGGCGCGCGGCCCTCTGTCGCCTCCTGGTGTCCCCACCGAGTGCACATCCACCTAACAGGCTCGGCTTGGTGGTCATTTTATTTAGCCGCGTTTTCCAACATTTGTACAGCGCATGTGTTGCGTACAGTAAAAAATGCAGCATCCCTTAGCAATTACACAGATGCTCAGCCTCGGCGCCGTCCGCTAGGAGCCCTCGGTGTCGGTGTTGTCGCTGCCCGTGGTGTTCTCGCGGTCCCCCTCGTCCTGTCGCCAGCTGTTCTGCACCTTGCGGAGCGCCCGCTTCCTGTGGGACCCGCAGTGTGAGCAGGTACACGCAGGTGTCCCACCCTCCCAGGCCGTCCTGCCCGCTGCCCCGCACCTGCGGTAGTTCTCGAAGCTCTCCTTGAGGCGCCGCCTCTCCTTCTCGGGGGGTTCGCTGCTGCTGGGCCCCGTGCCCTGCAGAAGGAAGGGCCGGCAGCTGGGCACTGTGGCCTCCCCGTGGCCCAAGCGAGTGTGAAGCCAGGCCAGGTGCTGAGGGGTGGGGGGGGCTGATGGACTGCAAGATGAGCGAGCACAGGGGAACTACCCCTTAGCCAGGCTGACTGGATGACTTCTTTGTCGGAGACTATCACTTTAACTGTGTAAAGGTGTGTTACATTTGTTTATGTCGTGGAATATCACTGTAACTATGTAAAGGTGTGTTACGTTTGTTTATGTCATGGAATATCACTAACTATGTAAAGGTGCGTTACGTTTGTTTATGCTGCATTTGTTTAATGATGTAAAGATGTATTCCTGTTTCACCTTGCCTGTCTAAGGCACCTGATTGGTCTAATAAAAAGCTTAATGGCCCATAGCTAGGCAGCAGAGGGAATAAGTAGGAGGAGGAATTTAGGCTTGAGAGAGAACAAGGGAGAAGGACAGCCAGCTAGGTAGCTGCCAGACAGACAGACACAGAGGAAGCAGGAAAAGTAGGTCATACAGAATGAAAGAAAGGTAAAAAGCCCTGAGGCAAAATGTAGATGAAGAGAAACAGGTTAAATTAAGTTGTAAGAGCTAGTGGGACAAGCCTAAGCTAAGGCGGAGCATTCATGACTAATAAGAAGTTTCTGTGTCATTTGGGAGCTGGTTGGTGGCCCAGAGAAATCCTGCTACACCTTCTTTGCAGTGAGCAGCTGTACGGGCCTGCTGTATGGGCATCCTTTCATTGTGCTCCACCCCACCCAACCACCCCACATCTGGGGTTCTGTCCAAGAAGAGGGGCTCCACTTCATGTACCAAACACTATCCCAATGTTACATCACACGCGTGCACTGCAAAGATCTTGTGATCCCCAGCTGTCCAGGGATACCGGTGGAGTCACCTTCCTCCCCGGGGCTCTGGGGACCCCAGTCAGCCTTACATGAGTTTGCGAAAGCTGCTCCTTGTTCTGAGCCGTGCAGGGCTGCTCTGGGCTCTCCCTGTCTGCCAGGGCACCTGCAAGGGAGAGCTGTGCTTGTGGGCCCCATCCAGCATGGCCACCACCTCCCTCTGGCTAACAGCCCAACTAGCACTAGCCCAGGCCAGCCCTATGGGCTGGGCTCCTCACAGAAGTCCAGTGGAGACTGCAGTTCCCAGACAGGGCCCGGCTGAGCCAGCCCGTGGCTGCCAGGAGCTCTCAAGAGGGCTCCTACCACCCCCACCCCCACCTCCCAGGCTGGCTGTCACCAAACATACAAGGGTGGAGGGGCAGGAAAGACTCCTGGTCCCCAGGACAGTTTGCTCACGCATGCCCCAGGCCATGTCCCTGTTGGCTTGGCGACATTTATGTGCCTAGTGGTTCCCACGGGTGGGGTGGGAGCAGCCTCAGTGGAGAGCTCAGGGCCTCTGGAGGTGAGAGCAAGAACTCTATATTAGTTAGACCAGGAAAAGTAGGAATGCCCAAGGTCCTGGGCAGACCAAGGCTCAAGCCTCCAGGCAGGTGTCGGGGAGGGTATGAACATCAAGAAACAGTTCTGTCCAAGGAGGACTCAGTATGAGAGCAGCCAACAGACCTACCCACTACCGCTCTAATTTCATGGTGCCTAGCTCCTGGCATGGCTTTTCGGGGAGCTGGCTGTTCTCGGGTTCTCCTCCTTTTGTGCCCACATGGAGCTCTGTGGCTCAGAGTCGGGTCTTGGGGGCTGCCGTGGTGACCCGCCTCCACACTTCTCCGTCAGCACTTGTTCCTCTTTTGCCTTTGGTTAGAGCCCGGGGTAAGGCTGAGCTGAGGAAGTCTGCTGGACTTCTCACGACAGCTCTCAGGGCTCCTCCCTGCACCAGACCCCCACCTCCCACCTCCAGCTACTTCAGGACACTGTTCTCCCCAGCTCCCCCAGCTGCCATCTCCAGGACTAATGAGCCAGCAGTCAGACCAGAGCGGGTCCTGTCTGGCTGCCCGCTGCTGTGGATAGCACACAACCCCATCTCCTGCTGCTCTGTCCATGGCGCCACCCCTTCCTTCCTCTTTGAACACACCTGGGTACTGGCTCGGAGATCTCTCTGCAGGGGGGAGGCTGGCGGGGAAAGGTGGGCCTAGGCAGGGCGGGGGCTCCACACTCACTGCCCTGAGCCACAGGCCCTGAGACCTAAGCCCTGTGTTCGATCCAGATGCCTTATTCTCTGTGTGTGTCAGCCTAATAATTTAGCCCTTCACCGATGCCACTCTCTGCCTCAGTTTCTCTATCCTTGGAGTGGTGTGACCTCTGAGACAGAGTAAGTCGCACAGCTTTGTGTGCTGAGGATGGGCCAGGTTTCTGGGAGGCCAGGAGACGAGGGCCAGGTGCCTCTGGGCTAGGGCAGGCTCTGGCAGGGCATGGCACCCCCACCTCCTCACCTCTGTCTGAGAGCTGGGCGTCCTCCTCCAGGTCCTGAGGCAGTGAGAGCTTCCAGACAGAAAGACCCACCCAGTTAGGCCATGTTACAAGCCACCATTGTCCCAGGGTTAGATGTGGCTGACCCCACTACCCACTTGGCTCCTCAGTGGCCACTACTGTCACCCCTCTGCACAGAGACCCTCAGGGACTCAGTCTCAGCAGGCCAGCAGGCCAGGGGGACCCTAGCATAAAGTCCACGTCCTGAGAGGCCAGGGTGTGGGCACTGTCTGTGCCTTGGCGTTTGGCCAGCACTCTTCCCTGTACCCGACCCGAAACTGGGGAGAAGGGACAGCCCGTGCGAGATGAGTGTGGGGCCGGATGGAGGTTGGGGGCCAGGGAGAGGCCCACTCTGTGCCCGCCCATTGGATCACACTCACCTCCTGGGAGTTCCTAGGGGAACTGTCCTCCAAGTCAGAGCTCTGTGGCCACAGAAAAGGGAATTGGTCAGCGGGACACAGGGGCTCTAAGCACCTGGGCATGGGGTGTGCAGGGTGTGGTGAGGGCCCCACCCCAGCCCCATCCTCTAGGGAGGCCCTGCATGCATCTCGGCCATGCCATCTCTTCAGGACCCTGCCCAGAACATCTGCCTTTCTTTCTTTCTTTCTTTCTTTCTTTCTTTCTTTCTTTCTTTCTTTCTTTCTTTCTTTCTTTCTTTCTTTCTTTCTTTCTTTCTCTCTCTCTCTCT